AAGTCTGAGCTGCTTCAGATATTGATGGGATGGCAAGAGAGGACCACCAAAGACTCGCAAGTCACTTCCCTTTGCTTTCAGGTTCCACCAGAAAGGTGACGGGTGCTTATTTTCTTCACACAGCACATGTGTTCTGCCACTATACTGGGGGGGGGGGGGGGGGGGTGCCTCTTCTGCCTCCTGACAAGACCCAAGGCTGGGGTGGGGGCAGAGATGGAGGGCAAGGAACTCAAACTCCCTAATCCTCATCCCTTTTCTGAAATGACCAGCAAGCCTTTGAATCCAGATTGCCAGGAACATGAGGAGGCTATCCACCCCCTGCTTGTGACCTTCCCATAGGCACCAGGCTGGCCACTTTGGGAACAGACTGCTGGGCTAGAATAGCACTTTGTTCTTCGCTTTCCACTTCTATCATCAACATCATCATCACATACAAATACAGTACTGTTGCACTGAAGCAGGGGTGGGGGACTTGTGAAGCTTCAGACACCATGGACTCCAACTCCCATCATCCCCAGACAGTGTGCCTGACAGCTGGGGATGATGGAAGTAGTAGCCGATAACTACTGGCGGACACCAGCTTTTCCACCTCTGTGCTGAAGTCTGGCTAAATTATGCACCTGAGAGTTGTTATCCTTTGGATCTTAGCAGAATAGTATTTGTTTTTTTGTCATTGCAAGCAGGTCTGCTCACCTTTTAGAGGAAGGGTGGGATATATGGATTCTAAATTAGTTCATACATACTCATTTATCTAGTCATCTGGGGGCCTCGGATGTCAAACAGCTACCAATTGGGCCCCTGATTACAGCATGCTGCCTGTAGAAGAGCTGAAACCAATGTAGCTTTGGCCATTTCCCCCAAATGAGTTCTCAAATCCAGAACAAAATATGCTCATGGTATTAACAAGCCACCTGTGGGCCCACTAGTGCCAACTGAAGGGCTCACAAAAATGCAATAGATCCAAAGTGTTCAGTTTGGACACACCAGTTCCTTTTCCAATTGATCCCAAAGACTCTTCCACCTTCACCTCTACAGTGCTTTGAGCTACGGGTATGTGTCTTAAAATAAACCCAACGGAAGGATTTCATTCTGGCACAGTGAAACCAAAGATCTGTATTATTCTGCATTGTTAATGGGGTTGATTCAGCTATCCAAGCCATCCATATGTTGCTGGTGGAACCATGTCCTTCTAATCAACTACGCCAATATGATTCGTTCGGCCTAGAGGGCAGCTTCTTTACCAGCTCCTGCTGGGATGCATCACATGGAGCAAGGCATTTACAAGTGTGAACACCTTCATTCATTGTACTTGCAATTACACTTTATCATCACTCCAACGCTTCCTTTGCTTTGGGGACTGTGTATTTCCTCTGTCTGACAAAGGTCCTGCCTCCTGCTCGGGCATCCCTGATCTAAAGCAAACCCACAACATGACAACTGCAACTCAAGCTGGTGAAGCTTTTCCCAGCATGCAAAGGGAGTAGCTTTGCCAGCGCTATTTCTGTTACAAAGCAGCAGAAGCCTTGCCAGAAAAAAGGGAAACTGTTCTAATTGATAATGCAGCCTTCCAGAATCACACAGCTCTGCTAGTCGTGTTGCCAATTGGACAAAGTCAGACTGAAATGCATTCATCTGTCACACATTTTGAATCAACAGCCCAGACTAACATTGCATATGCCACATATGAGTGACAGCTGTAGAGAAAATAGCTCCTCTGAAAGCCAGCCCAGAGGCCTAACCGCTTGGCATCTCTGACTAACTCATGTAAAAAGTGGGATCAGAAAACAATAATCACCAAAAGCCCCAATCCAGCAAATCTTTGACTGCCACTTCAGAATATAGGTGAAGATTGTATGTTTGAATATTTCCAAAGTAAAAAGTAAACACTTCCTGCAAACTGAAAGCTAGCACATCTGGGCTAAGGATTCCACCCTAGCCTTATCATTGATGTGAGTTTCTCACATACAAGGCGCATTCAAATCTGCAATCCATCATCGGCTTCCTAATTTTTTGTACTCAGTCCCACATGGATTTACCAAATTATTTTTTTTCACTTAGAAAAATGATAGCATTTTAACTCTCCTCTCTCTAATATATCTTTAAAGTACAGCCATTTACCAAATTATTTTTTTCACTTAGAAAAACGATAGTATTTAAACTCTCTTCTCCTAATATATCTTTAAAATACAGCCAAGTGCTACAGGTATGAAAGTATCGATATTTCCATTCAATTTCATGGGGAAAAAAATCCTATTGTTCAATTTGTCTTAACTTTTCTCTGCATGTTCAGCAATTCTCAGGAATTTGTGTTGTGACATGACTTGAGTTATGCTGCCATCTAGTGGATAGTTGGAAAAAACCGGATCCTATAATACAGCATAGGGAGAGTTGTTCTAATGCTGGATTTGAAATGCATTTGTTACATAAAATGTATTACAGAATCCAGCACAGGACAACCGAAAAAGACGAAATGCCCAATAAAAATAAGACACTCTGAAGCTTTTATTAAAGGAACCCACCAGAGGAAATGTTGCCTTAGTTAAGACTCATTACTTGAAGAACCATCCATTGTCCTGGAGCCCACTCGCTAACAGTGCAACTTTATGCACGTCTTCTGGGAAGTAAGTTGCACTGATTTCCACTGAGATTACTCACAGTAAATGGGTATAGGAAGCCAGTAATCCAACTGCCAGGAGAATCTTGTCCAGGAGAATTTTCCTGAAAATGGCTGCTATCCTGGGACTTGTTGAAATTCTGTGGCTCAAACCACAGCTGACCCCAAGATATTTTATTTCCTGAAGCAGAGCAGTAAAGTGCCCACTCCTCTACCTGGCACATAATTTGCTGTCCTTCCATGATATTTAAACCCAAGTGCCAAAGGTCCCCATCTCATCTGCCTATAGCAAGGCCAGCTAAAATTAAATTCTGGGCACAGATACTATTCCAGAAACAGTAACCTCTTTCTTCATTATATTAAAAAAAAATCAAATGGGAGGAAGAAGGGAAACTTCTGGACAGCATCTGAAAAGGAACTCCTGTGCCTTATATGGGCCATTCAGGCACAGGGAGCTTCAAGGAATAGCATCCAAAGAACTGGTTGGAGTGCCCTTATAGCCAATGCTACAACAGACACAAGATAAGCCCACCGGGGAAAGAGTATCATTTTGTTCAGTCCTTGTTGGAGGGAGGGTCCCAAAAGATAGTGTCACTGGATAGCCCCTTCAACTCACAAACTACTTCTCTCCACAAGCTTGGGGAGCTACAAAGAGTTCTCTCTCGTTCCCTCGGTTATTCCACATTGACATGAAACTGCAAGGAGTGGCTGTGCAACAGTTAGTAGGCCAGGTGCTCATTCCATGGATGTGCCGGTGCCCTGGGCATTATATCTCCCTTTCGTCCGATGCAAGGAAGCACTGGAAGTCCTAAATCGGTGTGAGATCATCAAAGGCTTGGATGTGGGCCTGCATGATGAGACTTTCTCTGGACAAGCAGAAGCGCTGCATTGGCTGCTTCTTCTCACCACCTCCTCTCATTTTTAGGGAGCTGAGCCATTCCACACTCCCTCTTGGATATCTTGCTAGAGATGGCAGAGCAGAGCTCAGGATGACCACCTTGTCTAGTTTGGCAGCTGTAAGGGCAATCTACCCAACTGTTCTCCTGATAACCAAGCCTGGCCTCCCCACTCCACTCACCAGATCCATAATGAACAGCAGCCAGGGGAAAGAAAAGAGGGTGGGCAGGGGCAAGGAGTGTGCCAGAGAAGCAGGATACCTTCCTAGGCTACCAAGCGGACAAAGAAGACATTCACACTTGACCTTTCTTGATATTCACTTTCCTGACCAATCCCAATGAAGGGTAATAATTTCTGCACAAATCACAATACAGAAAATTAATTAAACTTTATAATTTCACTTTCCATGTACAGAATATCATAGGGTAAGCTAAATCTTAGGACATATTGAAATGGCAGCTCCAAGGGCAGAAACAAACAGAAATCAAACACATACAGGAAACTAAAACAGAAATCAAACACATACAGGAAACTAATACATTAATCCATGTGGTAGCAATCTCAATACATATCAAGCAATTATCCCTTCATTGGGCTTTATCAGAATACGAAATTACTCATATCCTCCTCAAAATCTTAGATGGTTTGCTGTAAAAGGAACTACTGAACACTGGAGGTAGGCAGAGCTATTCCTTCTTCTGACCAATTCCAGTGAAGAGCCTATTGGGTGATATATTTTGAGATTTATACGACATGCATTGATAAATTGGTTCTCTACATCTGTTAGATTAAAACAAACAGTACCAAAGTCAATGCATAAACATAATCATATGATAGTTCTGGACACAGAACCTGCTACAAACAAATCAAGAGGTTTTTATCTTGTTCTGATGAAGACAACCTCACTTAAAACTAATTCTGGAAAACTAAAGAAAAATATTGGAAGAATATGGTGCAGTGTGAAATCTCATTACAGTCAACAGGTACCTCAAGAAATTCCATATGTAATACTTAATAATAATCTATGGCATAAACCCAAGGCCAAGTTTTATAAAAAGAAAATACCCTTTTGAGCAAATATTTCTCTTATTGCTATCATGAAAACATTGCAAGGTTCCTATGGTCTTAAGAAGGAAATGGTCCATATTTTGCTACTAGACTGCCAATCTTTTTAACATCTCAGGCTTAGAGATGCAATTAATCCCTTCAGATATGTATGCCAACACAGAGCCCAAATTTACAAAAATGAATTTCAGATATGGTGGTGAGTCTCTGTTCCCATGGTCCCTTTCCCATTCTAGTGAAATAGAATTCTATACTATATTAATGGAAATATAATTCTATAACATCATGATACATTGTCACATTTGTTAAAGAATGGAGACGTCTTTTTGAGACCAGTTCTAATAGCATACAATACAGAAGTTCTAGGACATCCCATTATTCATTTTGCAGTGTAGCATTAGTTCCCTTCTTTAAAATGCTAAGATTAAAGATTTGAACAGGAAGCAGAAGAACTTGATTCTTCTAGTTGTTCATAAGGGTCTTCTTTCCCCTGATATGTCAAGAAGTCCTTCACCAACTCCCACAAACACCTAGAGATTTAAAAAAATAGCAACAATGATTGTACAGACTTAATCCCATCAGTGTATGTAAAGGCAAACATCCCACCAAACTTCTCTCCATTTTCTTATAAAAGAGTAACCTCAAATGTTGTGGAAAAGTAGTCATCTTCTCCACCATCACCTCCCCATTCCATATACGGTATATTTAGCAATAGCTAACGAAGAAGAGAGCAATGATTAATTACTAGTTACTGTTTAGGGAATGGTAAAGAAAAATTTCTGCATCTACCATGATATCTAAGATTGAGCCAGAAAACCTTTATAACGATGCTACAAAATGTGCATACAAAACATTCTCAACAAAGACATGTTATGGACATACTAATTTTAGACCAACACTTTCCTAAGTCCATAATGTTATTCAGGAATGTATTTCTTATCAGGCAATTTTCTGCAACACACCTGCCTTTTGTTTGTGTCTCATAAGATACGGGATGAGAGATAGCATGACATTCCAATGAAAAACTGCTCTGGACTTCCCAGAGGAAGATACTAGTTGCAGTTGTAGCTGTGAGAGTGGTAGAAATATTCTGGCTTGTGTATGTTGATTGGGGGTTAAGGGACTAATGGATGGATATTCCTGAGACATTCATTCCAGCTCTAGCATCCTAAACTGCCTTTAGTTTCCCCTAACATGCGCACTTATATTTGGTCTGTAGTCTACTGAGATGGGTGTTCCACTGAGAGCAAAACAGTTCTGGGCAGACTACCCACATTTGTGGGTATTTTCCAACGCCCATTCGGATGTGCATCCAATTCGTGTCTGCAGTCTCTGCCCCAGAAAGTGACTTGCCTGCACCATCTTGCTTACTCACAGAAATACTTGGATTAGAATGTGCAACTCTATGTTTTTACATTGGCTATATTATATTTTACTCTATCATTATTTGTTGGAGTTTTTGAATATTAATATTTAAATATATTGGTTTTTTAACAAGTGAATACTTGTATTTCATTCACTGCTTTGGGTGGGCCTCATCTAGAAAAGCAGCTTATAAAATTTAAATTAAATCGCTGTTAGATAAATGCAATACCATAAGGAGACTTGGCAAGTTACACTAAACCAATCGGGTATTTCTATGCAGGTAAATATTGACTCATGCAGGCATGGGCCGCTATTTCGCCTGCAGTCGAGAGGAGAGCATCATGCCACCTGAGATGTTGCTACTTGGGGACAGAGTGGTTGCATTATTAATCTGTGCCTTTCTGACAATTAATGCCATTTAAATAAGCTCATGAGCACCAAGGGCAAAAAAAGATGATACAGTTCTGACTTCACAAAATTAGACACCCTCATTCAATTCTGCCCCCAAGACAGACTTTGATTCGCCTGCTCCTCACAGTCTTTCAAAGTCCCTAATCTATAATGGAGAAGAGTTATGCCAGCTCCCAAAATGAGAATTGTAATAAAGGGAGAGCAAAATTTGGGAGCTCCCTCATTTATAAACTGCCTTATTATGCAAATATCCCCAAGGCACTGTACAATTTTAAAAGAATTTAAATATGCACTTTACTGGGAGCAGAACTGAAATAGTCTTAAAAGTTGAACACATTAAAAAATATTTAGTAAGGGCATTTCTTTAACTGTCTCAGGCTAATTACTTTTAATAATTAACAGCCTATAAATGAGACTAATTAACCTTGTATTCTAGTATTATCTCCTTCTAATTGCCTTAATATTTTATTTCTAATAACCTCTAGGATGACCATATTTTAATGATTTTAAAATAACATAATTGAATTTTTTCTTCTGAAACAATGATTTCTTTTATTCTTGCAGGGATGCAAGCTACCCATTTCTTCCAAGTTTCCGCTCCTGATATCATCAGGGCTGGGCAAATTTGGCTTCTGGTTTCCCACTGCCAGACAACAGCATACGTTTCGCTTCTGCTGTCCAACATCCTTTTCACTGACTAACAGTTACAACCAGTACCAAACAGATTAATGAAAGATCCTGCAAACAACCTTCGTTAATGAGGAACAGCCTCCAGCTATCCAGTGCTTCTTGCCACTGGATCAAAAGCCTTCACACACCCTGCTCCACAGACATACCGTGTTTACAGCATAAAACCAGTTCTACCCATAAAATCAGTATGCCCAGTTTTCTTCAGCACGTGCATGGACCATGATGGGACCCATAGTTCATTCCCCCCAGCAATGCATGTGTCCTCAAAGCAAATCCTACTGAATCCAGTGGGACTCGTTTCCAGACAAGGTTACAGGCGTAATGTAGCACCCATGAGCCACACTGCATTTCTGTGTCCGGGGCTAACTCTGGATGATATTGCAGAAGGGATTTTCCTCTGCAGCCTGTGGCAAGCAGTGTAGAGAGCCACACCAGGTTCCACCAGTCAGATTCTAGTAGAGAAGATGTTGGTGTTTTCCTCTCAGTCCTGATATAGGGGGCTCCTTCTGTGCTCAGTGGGGAAGGAAATACACTCTTCACGTGCCCAAGATCCCTCTTCTATGGCTTTGCCTTGGTACTCAGAACAGATGCGAGGGCCCACTCTGACCTTAGCACAAACTGTGCCCTTCCTACCTTGCTTGAGAACATTCACACTCACCGTTGGCATTCTCCATTAAGCTTCTGCCTCATTAATGCAGAAGTGATATTGTGTTCGACATCCTACAAAACACAACCAGAAGAGACCTAAGAATCTAGCTCCTTTGCTTTAAAACATTTACATAGCATATTCCAAATGCACAAGCTCTTCACCTCCGTCTCTACAGGGTTGTTTTCATGTCCATGTAAGCCATGGCAGGCCCAGTGGTATTATCCTTGAATTGCAATTTTGGGAGCTTGGTAGAGACCTCCTTCACAGGATAATAAGCCACAGAGAGTTGTTAACCATCCTGTGCATGTCATCTGCTGGAGTTACTGTCTAGCAGAGTTACTGTCAGCAGTGTGACTTGTTATACCATGCAATCCCAGCTACTGTGGCCTGTTGGTGTGGGGAGAAATCTACCCAGAATTGTAAAACATCCCCTGAATTCTGGGTGGCTTGTTACCCATAGCAACAAACCAGCCTGGCTGGGTTCTCATGATATGACAAGCTTTGCTGTCAGGGATAATCATGCCAATCCTCCCTGCATTCATCTAACAATTGTTTCCATGATTTATTTCCCCAGCTGCAACCATGTAAACTGAGTTAGAATCTTATCCATGACCACCTAATGACTGAGTTCAGACAACACAGTGGCTCACACCCAAGGGCTGTGGGTTGTTGCTGTGCTCACAAGCCATGACATGTTAACCACAAACAACCCATGAGGAGAACCCATGTTTTGATGTTGGGTTGTGAAGTGTAGGTCATTTATCTTGATCTGCTATTTCATCTAGGTTCAGAGAATTTTCTTAAACAACACCCTACAGTTCAACAACGAGCCACTCATAACCTTTAGTATGGATTATTGTCTTGTCTGAACCCAGTCATTGATTAGCCACATTTCAAACTGTGTACAGGTAAGTATCACAGTTAGCAGAAATCAGGTTCTTAGATGCACAGAGTGTGAAGGCACCACGTGATTTTGCAGTCCAACCCACTCCACAGCCCATGGATTACCCTGAACGGTCCTAGCCACAATCTGTTACAAGCACCAGGAGCTAATGCACATGCCAATATATAGCTCCAGATCATTCATGCTAGGAAGCCAAGCAAGTGCTATGCTATAGGGGAATGTAAACATAATAAATTGGTCACAGTGATGATGACTGTTGAAGCCAATGCTAATTAAGGATAAACACAGCAACTATTTCTCTTTCCCTGCTAAGCAGTCGATTCCAACCACTTCACGATCAGATTAGCGTTGTGGTGACATTCATAAAATGGGCTCAGGCACAATTTCATAGGGCATCCCCTCCTGCAAACCTCCTCAGGTTTTATGGCTCAGACCCTTCTGCAGTTCCAGTCTGGTTCCTAAAGGGCCTGTTTTGGACCTGTCCACCAAGCTGCCCCCTTCCCCAAATGAGAGTGTGGCAGGGATGACGACTCAGGGCAACCCTAAGGCTCAAGATTCCCAACTGGATGCTGCTGTGGCCATGTGCTGGGGCATATGTGGCAGCATCCCTGAACCCCATCGAGCACGGTGAATGTGCCTCTCCTGCTTCCCAGCCCCAAGAATACAACAATAGGACCATAAACCAAAGCACACACAACTAACCCTGAAAAGCAAGTTCCGTGCATCCTGTGAATGGGATGCTTTTAGATGTGCAGGATCCTGCTCATAGGGTCAGCCCTCCTTAGTTAATCCCTGACGTATGGGTCCCACTGAATAAATGTCTTCCAAAATCCCCTTGCTCAAGACTGTGGCTTCCCTTCCAGAATTGATCCATCTCGTATCTAGTCTTTCTCTTCTTTCTTGACTTTAACTTCCCTACCATGATTGTCTTCTCCAGTGATGCACAAACTTACCCGTATTTGCTTTTTTAGAAAGTTGTTAGATGCCTGAAGTTTTGATGCTTCTCCCTGCAGAAAGAAAGAACACCAGGCTTCCCAAGTGAGTCCCTATATCTTTTGGTCAGTAAACAATTTAATCAAATGCTTGTTGGCAGCAAAACAATTTGGCCAGTAAACAATTTTGATCTAGGCTTAATTCTGAAGAAAAAGAGAGCATTCAAGAACAAAAGAAGAGTGCCACATTTGCAATATAGCTGCAGTATGCGCACACATTTTTAGACCATTGGGAGCCTCATTTTTCACCGCTGCAAAGCTTTGATGGGCATTCACATGCTTCCCTGAATGCTTCTCACCACCCACCTTTTTAATCACCTTTTGAACATGTTTACTTAGTTCTGTCTGAGATGCCATTATTCCCTTTCAGAAAAAGTAGATAAATATTAAGGGGAAGTTGAAAAGATAAGGTAATACCATACAATGCACTCTGTGTTCTTGATCTACTTTGAACTCTAACAAATGTTCATTTCCCCACAACCCTCCAATAATGTTCTGAGTGGAGTGGCTGATCCAGGGTTTAATTAAGCTGAGAGGAGTTCATCATTGAACTGGCTGTAATCAATGCAGCTTCCTGGATGTCATTTTGCGGCTGCTGAAGTAGATGGCATCTATTTTCTTTTATTTCATTATTTTATCTCAGAGAATTTCTCTATCACTTACCAGGGCTATTCTTTCTTAAACCTACCAAAATGGTTTACAGATAAAATCATGGTAAAATGCAATAAAAGCAATCATTAAGGCAAGAAAGCAGTGATCACACAATGAAGGCTCATTAAAGCAACCAGGGGTAGCCCATAATTCTAGCCGTCAGTGACACAACTAAGCAAGCAAAAGTGTCACAAGTTGTCAGTGTGAATCTGTGATCGAGCACCCTGCCTGATCTCAGTGGGGAGGTTAATGCCACATGGTAGTCACTACAGATGAGAAGGTCCTCCCCATCCAACTCCTTGGCCACACGAACTTCATAAGCCACCGCATGGTAAGCCAGGCCTCTCTGCCAGAATATCCAGGCTGGGGTGGCCTATACAGGAAAAGGCTGTCTCTCATAATAGACTACCCTGGTCCCCGTGTTTTTAGGTGGAGGCTTTTTAACGACTGCTGCAGAGATGCAGGAACAAGTTTACCCACAGGCCTTCTCAGTCTGCCCAGCCTCAGTGCAACATCACTGCGCTTCCTTAGATGCGAGGCTTCTTTGTTGTCTTCAGATTAGTGCAGCCCTCCCAGTCAAGTTTTGGCAAACAATTCGGAGGACCCCCTTCTCTCCCGACACATTTCAAGGTCTCACAGTTGACTGAGACAGACTGAACAGAGTAGTGTGGGCTTTCAAAGAGAAGGAGGCTGTGGTGAAGCTTGCTAGCATTCTCCCACCTCCCATGGGGTGAAGCCGGCAAGAGATCAAGACCTCCGTTCCTCTCCACCCAAGAGCAATTCCAGAAAGCAGGTGCAGCCCCAGGAATAACCACCGCGGGAGACATGGTGGTTTGCTTTTGAATAAGCACCACTGAAGTGAGTGTGATTAACCTCTGGATGTCTCTGGGTACATTTTCAGCGAGGTTTTCCTTGCAGGGGACAGGAGACGGAAAGCCACTTTGCATCTGCTCATCAGTTCACTGGGCAAGTTTGAAAGGGGGAGAGAGAGAGAAGTTGTGGGTGAAGAGACAGGAAAAGAGCCGAAGGCTGATCTTCATTATCCCCTCATCCGAGTTCCTGCTGTTTTGCTGAAGCCCAATACTCCCTTATGTTCCACTGAAGCCACCCCTCCACAGTGCCACAAGTTTAACACACACTGAAATATGTACCTCAGAAAAATGTGAATTATAAAAAAGCCACGATATATCTAGTTGGAAGAAATCTGGGCTATAACAGGAGGAACAGTGAGGATGGTTTGAGATGAGCATCAATGTTCCACCATTGAGTCAGGCATTACAACACCAGTTAAATGCCTAGTCTGGATTCCCCAAGCAAGCACTGCAGGTGCTCTTACTGCTGCCATTTCATTTCCATCCTGCTTCCCTGTAATGTTCTTGAAGCTGCTTAGAAAGCATAACACAAATGCATAACATAAAGCACTCCATTCATTTGTAGATGATTCACAGGATAAAACCAGGACATAACACCTCCAGCTTAATGGAACACGGCAGTGCCCCCATCCACTTCGAGTCTTACCTCTAATTCTTTAACTGTTTTCTCTCTGATATTTGCAATAGCAGCAAAAGTCATGGTGTCTTTAATTTCTCTTTCCATTGCTCGAATCTCCTCCCATTTCATGATAATTTGACTCCTCAGGGATGTAAGTTGCTCGACACTGGAAAGAGGAGGTGTTTCTGACTTCCCTGCCCTCTCTTTTTCTGCAAGTACAAAGGAGTGGTGGTCACCTGGATGGGAGATTATGCTTGTAGCTTTAATATCCAGGGGCTAAAGCAAATAGGGTCAATGCACTGGCAAATTCTGAGAAACGAACAGGAGCGAAATGGTTTGCCATCAAACACAGTCATAGGATCTCTCTCTTGGCAGCCTGCAGCACAAGGCTTTGATTTTACAGGTTCTCTGGATGCTCCATAAAATGCATCACATGTTACTACCATTATTCAAAGAAATGCTAATACTCACCTGCCGCTTTTGAGTCAGTCTGGCTCACCCACAGCTCAATTTCTAACTCATGTCTGAGTCTAAAATGTATAAGAAGGAAAGCTTTGATGAAGTCCAGTCTAGCAGAAGCAGTGTCTTCAGATTTGCACATTATAAGTCAGAAAAATGCAGGAGCAGAACTTAGTGGATGTGTTTATATAGGGATTACTAAAGACTCAAAGTGGCCCAAATCTGCACCTGGAACCAATGCGTGTTTCTTCATCCATCTATTTGCTTGAGACAGAAGCCACACAGATGGCAATTAGATCCCACTGATAACTCTTTCTCAACAAATAAAAGCAAACAAGTGCCAGTTTCTCTGGCCATTTCCATGTTTAAATACCATCATATTTTAGGGGCTGGTTTTTATCATGAGCTGCCTTGGGTGCTTGACAAAGGCCATGTAAGGCAAGATATAAAATTAAACAATGAACAGTCAACAAAGAACAGAACAAAGAAAATGTGCACACCATGAACAGCCTGTCAGGATGTTTATTTTGTAATGAGAGCTATTAGACAATTACACATCAAACCAGGCTTGTCTCATTTAGCTCCACCAGCCGCAGAGACCCATATCTGGGGTTAATCAACAATATACACAAGCTTTTCCATTGCTATTATAGGTGGGGATTCATAAAAGCAAACTCAAAGCTCTGAGCATTTGTGAATGCCAGTTACTGAAAGGAACTGCTTGATTAATTGGATCATTTCAGATTTAAAACAGCCCCATGAGATTTTAATACCAACGACTAAGACATCTAAGCAGGGATTCTGAACTACTATTAAACATTCACTGATATAAATTCTGGGGGCAGGAGTCCTCCTGGATATTGCAGGCATACAGAAAATGTGTCAGGCTTTATTCAAAGCCTTCCTTTCATGTGGAGGGTGGGGTGATTGTTGAGCTACAGAACTCTTAATGAAAGCTGAAGGCTATAGTCCTCCTGACATAGTTATTAGGAAATAAATCTCATTGGATCTCATGCGCCTCTGAGTAAATAAGTTTCGGATTGCACTGACAGCAGCAGCAATACACAGGTAGGCTATTTAAATCATGGGACTTAAGGAGCCTTACCAAACTGCCACATACATTCCATGGCGGAAAACAAGAAGAAAATGTTTTATGCTAAGTGGATTGTTCTGTGATGGGTGAGAATGAAGCATGGATGAGCCAGTTTGGTCCACAGGGGGAATGTAATTCCTGCACACCAGGAACAAGACTAAGGAAGCACACTCAGGATGCTTCCCCACCTCCCCCTAACTGTTCCTGCCACATTAATAGTATTATTGAGCACACAGCCTTTACCCAGAGCACAGCTGCTGTGAAAAAGGCAAAACCCATGATGGTCATAATTAGGAACAGAACTGAAAATAAAACTGCCAGGACCATAATTCCGTTATACAAACATTTGGTGCAGCTGCACTTAGAATATTGTGTACAGTACGACTGCCTGGCAACAGTGACACACGCGCTGGTGACTTCCCACCTTGACTTCTGTAACGCGCTCTACGTGGGGCTGCCCTTGAAGACGGTCCAGATACTTCAATTGGTTCAAAATAGAGCTGCCAGGCTGCTGGCATAGCTGCCATGGTGCAGAGCCATAGTCCCCCAGCACCACCTTCTGGAATCGGCCATCGAGATAGGAGCGGAACCACTGCAAAGCAGTGCCTCCAACCCCCAATCCCGCTAGCCTATCCAGAAGGATACCATGGTCGATGGTATCGAAAGCCGCTGAGAGGTCCAGGAGAACCAACAGGGACGCACTCCCCCTGTCCTTCTCCCTGCATAGGTCATCGTACAGGGTGACCAAGGCAGATTCAGTACCATACCCAGGTCTGAAGCCAGACTGAACTGGGTCCAGATAATCAGTTTCATCCAAGAGAGCTTGGAGTTGTCCCACCACCACCCGCTCTAACACCTTGCCCAGAAACAGGATGTTGGCCACTAGTCTATAATTAGTGGCCATCTCTGGATCCAGTGACGCTTTCTTCAGGACCGGTCGGACTACCGCCCGGACTACCGCCTCCTTTAAAGGGGCAGGCACCCGACCCTCCCTCAGAGAAGCGTTAACCACTTCCAAGATCCAGATCCCAATCTCGTGCTTGGAATTATTTATTAACCAAGACGGGCAAGGATCCAATAGGCAAGTGGTGGGACGTACTCGTCCCTTGTCCACATCATCAGGCCACAATAACTGAAATTCATCCAATAATTTTGGACCAGACAGCAGCATTGGTGTCTCCCCAGAAACCTCTGATTCACTAGTGGTGTCTAGCTCATGACGAATCTGAGCGATTTTCTCCCTGAAATGCATGGCAAAGTTGTCACAGCGGGCCTTTGAGGGTGGAACCAGATGTTTCTTAGGACCTGGACGAACCAGGCCTTGCACCACTCGAAAAAGCTCCGCCGGACGGCATTTTGAGGAGGCAATGGAAGCGGAAAAGAATCTCTTTTTCGCCGCCCTCACCGCCACAGCATAGGCCCGATAATGGGCTCTCAAGTGCGTTCGGTCAGATTCATCCCGTGATCTCCTCCACCTACGCTGTAGCCGTCTCCCAACCTCCCAAGTTGCTGAGGAGTTCAGGTAGGTGGGAGATCCTGCTTGCAGGATTTGGTGGACTGCTGGTTCACCGCTGTGTAAATGGAATGCTGGGCTGGATGGACTATGGCTCTGATTCAGCGTGGTTCTGGTGTGGGTTGATCACAGTGGGGCATGAAAGAGGTGGAGCTCTCGAGCGAAGAGTCACTTTGCCGGTCAAACACCACTTCCAGATCCTGGCCCCTGGTCTCAAGGATCAAGCTATCCCTGAGAGTGCTGACAACCCTGATCAAGGGAGGATGTTTTCCATAAATATTGTATACATTGTATGCAATAATCTCACACTTACATAACTTACTCTTCATTTCTTGCTAAGGCCAATTTGGATTTCTGCACCAGAGCCTGTATGTCATGCCTCTTCTCTTCTATTTCATGTGTCATCACTGTCCTCTTCTCCATGCCTTTTACTTCGTTTTGCAAAGACTGTTTTGTGGTAGAGAAAGGAATGATGCATTAGAATTTTCCAACTAGAGGGAAGGAAAGAAACTGTGGAAAAAACAAATTGAGCCATTTTGTTTAACTGCTTTTCTTCAGAAGCTCTCTTGATGGAAGACTGGGAATAAGGAATTCCATGGGCAAATCTTAATCCTTCTAATGCAAAACTCATAAAGAAGATGAAGGAAAAGCAAGTTATTGTAGGAATATTCTGTCTCTGGTTGTTTGCTTATGTCATACAGAAATTGCAGTTCACCATGGAAACCTATACATAAATTTGTGGTTTTTACCAGGGTAAGGAACTTGTGGTCCTGGACTCCAAATCTCACCACCCACCCCAGCCAGCATAAAGATGACTGGCAGGGCTTACTGTACAACAAATTCTGGGGGACCACATAGAAACATAGAAACAGAGCGAGTCAGAAGGGGCCATCTAGTCTGACCTCTGGCACCAGCTGGCTCCTCTCACGACACGCCCACCATGTGGACGTCCAGCCTATCCTTGAACACCCGCACCGATGGGGCCTCAACGACCTCTCGTGGAAGCCCATTCCACACCCTCAGGGTCCTGACTGTCAGGAAGTGCTTACTAGCCATGATGTTACTAGCCATGATGGCTATCTTCTGTCAGAGGAGGTATGCCTATGTACACCTGTTTCTGGGGAAACATCGGTGGGAGAGGTCATTGCACTCCTGTCCTGCTTCTGGGTTTCCCACAGGCAGCTGGCTGGCCACTGTGAGAACTGCATATTGGACCAGATGCTCCGATGGCCTTCTGACATGGATGACAGAGCAGGCATTGAGCAGGGTATTGAATAAGATGAGCTTTAAGGTTCCTCCCAGCTCTGTGATTCTTTGATCTATCTGGCCAATTGCAGTGAGGGCCAGTTCCCATGCTTCCCTTCATTACTCAGAACCACCACTCACTAATTAATATTTGAACTGATTCCACTCCACTGAAAAGCCTCATGCTGAGGCAATGTGAGACAACACAAGCATTCTATGTGTGGTGTTCTAAAGGGGCCTTTGTGCATTTGGGGCAGACATGAGATACCACACTTTGGGCAATAAACACGGGGGGGGGGTGGTTAAAGAATTATAACCTCTGCTGTCATAGCCTTGTAATTTTAGATATTGCTGATGCCTATTTTCCAACATAAAACAGATAATGAAGAATACAACACAAGAATGCAGACCTATCTTGCTGCCCTCAGGAGAAAACTGTCTCATAACAAGACCAAAATCAGATTCAGCTGCTTGCCTGGCCAGGTTCTGCATGTGGACTGGTGCATCAGAGGACCTTCTCATCCTTCGCCTTGGGCAGGGGACTTCCTTGGGCAGCCCTATTTGTGGACGGAACCCTTTCCAACCACACATTCATTATACACTGATATGTATTGGATCCAAAAATGATCTTACCCTGTATTGTGTTGTAGGTAGAGAATCCAGGAGAATCACTACGTAGAGCTCATATTCATTCTGCAAGTCACAGTCAAATAAGGACATTATGAAACAGCTACACACATGAATCGAAAGACTGCTCTTTGCTGACCTTGATTCCCAGGTCCTGAATGTGGAAGTCTCACTCTCCTTTTCCCTTCATTTACAATGCATTTACAATTTCCTGTAAAATGCATTTGGATCTATAAGATACTGTGGTAAATGGTGATTGCACTAACAATTTTGTTGTGGTTGTTAGTCACAAAGTCGTGTCCGACCCATCGCGACCCCATGGACAACATTCCTCCAGGCCTTCCTGTCCTCCACCATCCCCCAGAGTCCACTCAAGCTCACGGTGACTGCTTCAGTGACTCCATCCAGCCACCTCTTTCTCCTCCGTCCCCTTCTTCTTTTGCCATCTATTGTTTCCAGCATTAGACTCTTCTCCAGGGAGCCCTTCCTTCTCATTAGGTGACCAAAGTATTTGAGTTTCATCTTCAGTATCTGGCCTTCTAAAGAACAGTCAGGGTTTATCTGCTCTAGGACTGACCAGTTTGATCACCTTGTGGTCCAAGGGACTCGCAGGAGTCTCCTCCAGCACCACAATTCAAAGGCCTCAATCCTTTGGCACTCAGCCTTCCTTACGGTCTAGCTTTCACAGCCATACATTGCAACTGGGAAAACCATAGCCTTGACTATACGCACTTTTGTTGGCAGGGTGATGTCTCTGCTTTTTAGTATGCTGTGTAGATTTGCCATAGCTTTCCTCCCCAGGAGCAAGCGTCTTTTAATTTCTTGGCTGCAGTCCCCATCTGCAGTGATCTTGGAGCCCAGGAAAATAAAATCTGTCACTACCTCCATTTCTTCCCCATCTATTTTCCAGGCAGTGAGAGGACCGGATGCCACAATCATAGTTTTCTTAATGTTGAGTTTCAAGCCAACTTTTGCACTCTCCTCCTTCACCCGCATCAAGAGGCTCTTTAGTTCCTCTTCACTTTCTGCCATTAGAGTGATATCATCTGCATATCTGAGGTTGTTGATATTTCTCCCAGCAATCTTAATTCCAACTGGTGATTCATCTAGCCCCGCCTTTCTCATGATGTGCTCTGCATATAAGTGAAATAGGCAGGGCGACAGTATATAGCCTTGCCGAACTCCTTTCTCAATTTTGAACCAATCAGTGGTTCTGTGTCCAGTTCTCACTGTTGCTTCTTGACCCACATATAGGTTTCTCAAGAGACAAATAAGATGGTCTGGTACTCCCATCTCTTTAAGAACTTGCCACAATGTGTTGTGATCCACACAATCAAAGACTTTAGCATAGTCAATGAAGCAGAAGTAGATGTTTTTCTGGAACTCCCTAGCTTTCTCCATGATCCAGCGTATGTTGGCAATTTGATTTCTAGTTCCTCTCTCTCTTCGAAATCCTGCCTGTACTTCTGGTAGTTCTTGGTCCACATACTGCTGGAGCCTAGTTTGTAGGATTTGGAGCATAACTGTGCTAGCATGTGAAATGAGTGCAATGGTGCAGTAGTTTGAACATTCTTTGGCATTGCCCTTCTTTGGGATCGGAATGTAAACTGTCCTTTTCCAATCCTGTAGCCACTGTTGAGTTTTCCAAATTTGCTGGCATATTGAGTGTAGCACTTTTACTGCATCGTCTTTTAAGATTTTGAATAGATCAGCTGGAATACTGTCACCTCCACTAGCTTTGTTGTTGCTCAGAATTCCTAAGGCCCATTTGACTTCACATTCCAGGATGTCTGGCTCGAGGTCAGTGACCACCCCATCGTGATTATCAGGGACGTTAAGCTCTTTCTTGTATAGTTCTTCTGTGTAATCTTGCCACCTCTTCTTAATCTCATCTGCCTCTGTTAGGTCCTTGCCATTTTGGTCCTTTATCATGCCCATCTTTGCATGAAATGTTCCCTTCATATCTCCAATTTTCTTGAAGAGATCTCTGGTCCTCCCTATTCTATTGTTTTCTTCTATTTCTTTGCACTGTTCATTTAAGAAGGCATTCTTATCTCTTCTAGCTATTCTCTGAAATTCTGCATTCAATTGGGTGTATCTTTCTCTTTCTCCCTTGCCTTTCACTTCCCTTCCTTCCTCAGTGATTTGTAAAGCTTCCTCAGATAGCCATTTTGCTTTCTTCCATTTCTTTTTCTTTGGGATGGTTTTAGTTGCTGCCTCTTGTACAATGTTGCGAACCTCCATCCGTAGTTCTTCAGGCACTCTGTCTATCAGATCTAATTCCTTAAATCTGACACCTCTACTGTATATTCATCAGGGATATGATTTAGGTCATACCTGAGTGGCCTAGTGCTTTTCCCTACTTTCTTCAATTTAAGCCTAAATTTTGCAACCAGACGCTCATGATCTGAGCCACAGTCAGCTCCTGGTCTAGTTTTTACCGACTGTATGGAGCTTCTCCATCTTTGGCTGCAAAGCACATAGTCAATCTGATTTCTGTGTTGACCATCTGGTGATGTCCATGTGTAGAGTCGTCTCTTGGGTTGTTAGAAAAGAGTGTTTGCTATGACCATCGTATTATCTTGAGAAAATTCTACCAGCCTGTGTCCTGCTTCATCATTTTGTACTCCAAGGCCAAACTTGCCTGTTATTCCGGGTATCTTTTGGCTTCCTACTTTAGCATTCCAATCCCCCATGATGGTAAGGACACCATTTTTTGGTGTTAATTCCAGAAGGTGTTGTAGGCCTTCATAGAACCGGCCAACTTCAGCCTCTTCAGCACCAGTGGTTGGGGCATAGACTTGGACTACTGTGATGTTGAATGGTTTGCCTTGGCTACGAACTGAGATCATTCTGTCATTTTGGAGATTGTATCCCAGTACTGCTTTTCCTACTCTTTCACTGACTATGAAGGCTACACCATTTCTTCTGAGGGATTCTTGCCCGCAGTAGTATACCTGATGGTCATCTGAATTAAATTAATCCATTCCTGTCCATTTTAGTTCACTGATTCCTAAGATGTCGATGTTCAGTCTTGTCATCTCTTGTCTGACCACATCCAGTTTGCCTTGATTCATGGATCTTACATTCCAGGTTCCTATGGAGAATAGATCTTTGCGGCATCGGACTTTCCTTTCACCACAAGATACATCTGCAACTGAGTGTCCTTTCGGCTTTGACCCAGTCACTGCATTCTTTCTGGCGCTACTAGTACTAGCCCTCCGCTCTTCCCCAGTAGCATATTGGACACCTTCCAACCTGAGGGACTCATCTTCCAGCATCATATCTTTTTGCCTTTTTGTACTGTCCATCAGGTTTTCATGGCAAAGCTACTGGAGTGGGTTGCCATTTCCTTCTTCAGTGGATCAGTTTTTGTCAGAGCTCTCTGCTATGACCTGTCCATCTTGGGTGGCCCTGCATTGCATAGCTCATAGCTTCATTGAGCTATGCAAGCCCCTTCACCATGACAAGGCAGTGATCCATGAAGGAGGCACAATTTGGCACTGTCAAATAATATAAGGTTTAACAATGTTGTTTGTTAATTGGTGAATGAAGCACTTTCATGCCTGTAGAAGCAAATCTTGCTTTGTCCAGTGGGAGTACTCCCTTAAAATTTCCTTCTGAGCACAGTCTTACATATAAAAGTATGTCCTTATTATCAAAACTTCAACATAGGGGCTTATTTGAAAAAACTGCAAGAATTTTGCCATTGAAGTGTGGAATGCTTTAATGGAACCCCTTATTTAATGGAATTTAATGGAACCCCTTAAATGGAACATATTTCCCTGCTTTTTGGTAGTCTAAGCATCTAGACTATAAAATATGGCATACTGAAATAACCGAAACGTGCACCTCTATGATATCCAACATTGTTGCGGGGGCATAGAATTCTTAAAGCCCCCAGAACTTGGACTCCAAAGTCTGAGCCCCCACCCCAGTCCACTCGCAGGCAGCATGGAAAGAACTGCACCCACAGGGTCTCTGAAGATGCAACTGGGCCTCAGGATGGTGCGAAAGGGGCAGGCCAGGGCACAAAGCAAGCCTCTCGGTTCAATGAAGTGTGCGAGGTACCACGGCCACTGTGCCTAGCCCTGTACATGGGATGCGCATGAGCCTTCCTGTTCTGCGGCTTCCTTGCCTCTGCAGTGGAAGGCACTGGGTTGTACCCTAAATCTCTTAATAGAAGGCCACATCCAAATTCCATCAATATTTCAATATGTTTATATATTAATTAATCCAATTAGCTGTCTTTCAAGAATGCAGACTCCCAAGGCATGTTATTGCATAAAAGCATGCAGCAAATGCATGAATAGAATATTATTTTAAAATGCATTTCTAAAACATAATTCTGATCTTTATAAAAATATAATTTCAATATCATAAAAGATCCAAGTTTTACAATATGGATACTGCCTTTGATTATGCATTTATTTCATTCATTCATTCATTTATTTGGTTCAACAAGGCATTTCCACAGCAATTTTAACTTGTTTCAGGAGTATAAGCAGAGATGAGCCATGTAAATTATGCATTGCCTGGGATGCCTTGCACAAGCACAGTAAGGGGATGAGCCACACTTGTTTATTTTCCCCACCCTGCATGCAGCATTGATTTCCCTAATTCCTCTTTGTGGTACATCCTACCACGTTGTCAGAAACCAGGAGGCCTGGCTGGTTTGGGTGATGGGAGACAGCAACAACCCTCAATCAATAACCCATGGATTGATTGTCTGAGAGCTGCTGCCTCCCCAGACAAGCCATACTATTTATTTATTTGTTTGTTTGTTTGTTTGTTTAGGGGACTTCTATGCCGCCCCATTCGCTGAAGCCTCGGGGCGGCTCACAACCATAAATAAATAGAATCCAGTAAAACAATATAAATTAATTTATATTGTTAATTTATTGTTAACAATTAATTGTTAAGTCACCCTGGCCAAAGAATAAAATAAATAAATAATATTAACAATTAAAATAACATTTGAATAAAAAGGTCTTCGCCTGGCGCCGAAAAACAAATAATGATGGCGCCAGGTGGACCTCTCTGGGGAGCGCATTCCATAGATTGGGTGCCACCGCAGAGAAAGCCCTCCTCCAAGTACTTACCCTCCTAATTTCCTTCACGGAGGGTTCCTGGAGAAGGGCCTCTCCCGCTGATCTAACTGAAATTAATCCATTAATTTTGGACCAGACGGCGACATTGGTATCTCCCCAGAAGCCTCTGAATCACTAGTAGAGTCTAGCTCATGACGAATCTGAGTGATTTTCTCCCTGAAATGCTTGGCAAAGTCGTCACAGTGGGCCTTCGAGGGTGGAACCAGATCTTTCTTAGGGCCAGGACGGACCAGCCCTTGTACCACCCAAAAAAGCTCCGCCGGACAGCATTTTGAGAAGGCAATGGAAATAGAGAAGAATTTCTTTTTCACTGCCCTCACCGCCACAGCATAGGCCCAATAATGGGCTCTTAAGTGTGTTTGGTCAGATTCCTCCCATGATCTCCTCCACCTACTCTCTAGCCGTCTCCCAGCCTGCTTCATCGCCCACAATTCAGATGTATACCAAGGGGAAAGAGAGGGCTCTGCCTGGCGGGAGAGGACACTTAGGAGCGATCGTGTCAACAGCCCTAGTCATCTCCCCATTCCATAATTCGACCAGAGCCTCGACAGGAGCACCAGTCTTGTCAGCCAAAAACTCCCCCAGGGCCTTCAGGAATCTGTCCGGATCCACCCGGCTCCGGGGGCAGACCCACGCAATTGGGTCTGCACCCTTACAGAGGGAGAGGCTGCTTTCGAGCACAAACCTCACGAGGAAGTGATCTGACCATGACAGGGGTTTCAGACATAAATTCCTCACCCTCAGACCACCCTCTTCCTGCCCCATCGAGAAAACCAGGTCCAGAGTGTGTCCATGTTCATGGGTCGGGCCTGTGACATGTTGAGACAGCCCCATGGCTGTCATGGAGGCCATGAAGTCCTGAGCCGCCCCGGTCAGACCAGACTCCGCATGGAGATTGAAGTCCCCCAGGACCAACATCCTGGGGGTCCTCAACACCAGGTCCGAGACGATCTCCGTCAGCTCAGGCAGGGCAAGTCATGGCAAGTCATGCCAACAACGATGATCCACCCAATGTGTGACGGGCATGCACAGCACGCTTGACAAGCTGCCGTGCTGCGATTGGGCGAACCAGGGAAAAGTCTTTCCTTGGTGAAAGAGGAGTCTTCCGCCTGCATCATATCACTAGTCCATAAAAGGCAAGTCCCAACACGGTTCATTACAAAACTGTCATTTAAAGAACAAAGCAGGAATGGATCTGAATCCTGCCTAGACTCAAACAGGATTCAGATCTCTCTTTCCTTCTTACCCTCCTCGTGTAGCAGGCAAGTCACACGCACGGAGGGTGATCCGAATTAGGACCACAGCAGGGGCAGCAAAGGCATAAGCCTCTCCTCCTTCCTGGCTGGGCCTTCATCCTGATCTCTTTCTCTCTTTTTCCCTCTCACAATCTCATGCATACACTCACACACAAGCACTACTATGGCCATTCACTTTCTTAAAGGTCACACAACTGCTAATTGTGCAAATGGTGTCACATCTAAAATGGTCATGTTGAACAAGTTACGAATTTTCACATTTTAGTACTCTAATGGCATGGTATTATTATTAGCAGTAACGACCCCGTAATACATAGGTTAAGATTCAAGAATCCCAGAGCTAGCAAGAGGATACAAATGTTGTCTTTGCACTGCAGTGGGATCTGACAGTCAATGAGGTCTCATAAGGTCACCTAAGTCATTTGATGAAAGAGGAGGAGGAAGAAATGTGAACCAATCTGTGTAATTTGTAGTATATTCTCTGGGCCTTTCTGTACCCTAGCAATTCCAGAGTGGTGAAATTGTTCAGCAACTTGACCTATTTCTATATGAAAGAGTGGGGATTTGCCTGATAGGTGGACAAATTTAATTGCTCTGGCTTCTTTCTGAAGCACAGATCTACTTACAAATGCAATCCTCCATAATGGCTTATGCAAGGGGCAGCTAAACTCTTCCTAGAGCATCAGACTGTTACTATTGTCTGATTGATTTACACCCTGCCTTTCTACCAAAAATGGCACTCGAGGTGACTAGCTGAAAGTGGGAAATGGAAAAATATTGCACCCCACAAAGAACAGCTTTTGTGCATATCCCTTTGTAATCAGTGCTGTTGATGCAGAGAGGCCTTTTGAGCAATATAGAGTTGTAATTCTTTTGTTGACTTGGGTCAAAGATAAATGAAAGAAGGATTGAGTATTGTTGTGCTTGTGCTTGTGATATGTATTTATATTCCACCTATTCTCAGTACTGGGAATAGAGAGTTAAATGGCCAAAGCAAGTCATCTGAGAACCTCTTAGGATATGATGCACTAAACATTATGAGCAGCACTTACTTTCACTTCCCTCAGTATATCACCAAATATCAAAGAGCTGTTGCAGATATCTTCAAACACATCACCAACAGCTTGCAACCGGTAAAAATGTGGACGATTGCAATCACAGATATTCCGGAGTGCCTAAAAGAAAATAAAAATTAATCCATAATGTATATTCAGGTCTGTTGCCTGGCACCATACAGCCAAAATATGAAGTTAATATTTTCCCAATCTCACGGTCTTCCAGACCAAACACTGTTCCAGGTGGTGTGTGAGAAGCCCAATCACAGAAAGCACTTTTGTTAAGTAGGTTCCAGGAAAGAATATTGCTCACTGCCAGTCTCATCCGGATAACTTTTCACATTATCTGGAAGTTCACGTGATCTTGCTGTGGGTTAAGATGTGTATGTGCTATCCTAAAACACAAGATTTTATAAAATTGTGCACCCAGGCAGGGCATATCTGAGTTTTAAAAAGTTAGGATTTGCAACCTGTATAACATTTGCAGAATTTGCAGAATTTCTCAGCTGTGGTCTGGGAGGCTGGAGGTTCTTTGAAGTCCCACCTGGGAGCTGTGGTGCTCTTGGAGCTGGTACTCCACAGGCTGCGCCATCACAACATGCCCCTTGCAGCCAGCATGGGAAGTCACAACTGGACTTCCAAAGGCGGAAAAAGGGGCATTTGAGGAAGGCAAGGAGGGGAGCAGGCTGGATCCACAGGCACTGGCACAAGTCTCCCAAACTCCTTCCTTCCTCCTCTTTAGGAGTTTATCTAGAAAGCCATTCCCAGCATGGGACATGGTGGTGGCAGTGATTGTTACAACTGTTCTCTCCACCTGTAAAGGAAGCAAGAAAGGAGAAGGGCCTTTTCAGGAGTGGTGCCCCATTTATGGAGCTAGTTTGCCCAGGAGGTATGCCTGATGCCAACACTTTATACCTTTCAGTGCCAGCTCAAAACCTTTTATTTTGCCATCATTGTAATTGTCGGTCAGTGGCCATGCTTTTATATTGTTTTTTATCTAAATGATGACTGGTTGCTCTTGTTTGATATGTTATTTATTTTTATTCTATTTTCTCATTTTTGGGCATTATTCCTTTGTATTTTTGTGATTTCTTGTATATAGATTTTATGGATAGTTGTGTTGTTTTAATATTTGCAGACATTTGTAAACCATGAAAAAGCATGTGCTGAGAGAACGGACTATTAAAAAAACTTAATTAATTAATAATAAATACAACTGTGCTTTGCTCTGGGCGCAGGAGGCACATAATCCTCCTGGTCTGAGAACTACATGACTTGCTGCAGGGATTGTTCCCTGAGATGCTAAATGTCAGCTTGGATGCCAAAACAAGCCATTCAGGGGTGCTCAAAATACGTTTTGTTAAATACTAGAAAGAACACGTACTTTTGCTCCCATAAAATAGGTGTGAATTCCAACAACTACATCTCCTCCTATACGTCATTACTTTTGTTCCTGAGAAGTGAGTGCCATTGGGTTAGGTGAAGGACACCGTTGCCGCGAAGGTTGCAGCAAGCTGTAATTTAGCAGCATAGCTAAAATGTGGCAGCTCAAGAGTTCACAGCAGGGTGGACATCTCCAGAAAACTGACCCCTTGGGCTGCTCCATAGTATATGCAAGTTGATTTAGCATTTGAGGAAATGGTTGGCAGAATCCATTCCAGGTTATCCAGGTAGTTGGCTAGGGCATGCAGGGCTATTTTCTGTCTAAACATGTATAGGATAGCACCCTAAATTTACATGGGTTTGGATGGATCTGCTAGCTCTTTATAATACCTCTCTAATTATTTACTTACCTGAGCCAATTTTCTTTCATGTTGTTCTGCTGACTTGCTCCCAATGAAATCATTCTCTAGCAAATCCCGCTTAGCAATAAAATCCTTCTGAAATTGCATGAACTTGTGAAATTGGTCTGTTTTGGTCACGCCAGCCAAGTAGGAAGGAAGGAATTGGTATTCATCTTTAATCCCCTGCATAACACAAAGCTGACTGTTTCTGGTTGGTTTGTATTTCAATATCTTCAACTCTGGAACTTCTAGCTCTTCCTGTATAAGCTTCTTTTGAAATAGGCCAACTCCACCCTCTGTTTCCTCAGGAGTGTCCTTTTGTTGTGGTTTGAAGGCAGCAGCACCGAGCGAAATGCTTACTGGAGCTCGAGAGCTGGCCTTGGATGCCCAAGGCTGACGACACGAATGAGAAGCAGATTTGGCCCGGGTGGGAGTTGGTGTGCCAGCATAACTGGTTGAAGTATTCTTCGACTTTCTAGATGCCTCACTGGGTGCTGTGAACTGGGCTCTTCTTCTGGGTATCAAGCCAGGGTTTTTTGCACTCTCCCAGTAACTGTGTTTTACTAACACCTGAGGCCTGAAAAGCTTGTCATGGTTCAGGTGGCCTGAGGTGTAAAGTTGAATTTGAGCTTTGTGGGCCTTCTCCACTCCATCTAAGAGGTCTGTAAGGCTGTCTTTTTGCTTCTTTTTTGCCATGCTGAATGTTAGTCACTGTGCATATAAACAGAGCTTACAGCTTTAGCAGAATAAAGGAAAATGCTCAGCTCAACATCCCTCAAGCATCACTAATGACCCCCTGATTTTAGTGGGTTTACTCAAGCTATGACTAATTCTGCATCCAATTCTTTGGGTGGCTTTGCATGGCAGGACAAGCCATAGCGGGAGAGGGAGATCACCATTGTTCATCTGTCATGTTGTCCAAAACCATCATCATGGTTTTTCAGCATGGTACACTGGGTCTTTAGAAACTATGAACAGAGACAACCGTCTGGCTCATTGTGACACCCCAAAACACAGCTCATCTTGGCACCAAGGCCAGAACCAAAGAGAGGTCCTGTGAAAGAGATGAGGAACCAGCTGCAGAATTCTCAACATCCACAGTGAAGCATCATTCCTTTCATACTTTGGAGACAATATGTACAGGTGTAATACACATCGGGACCCACAGTTCTGTCAGCTAAGTGTGCACTATCAGAAGAATGAGCTTCATTTTTCACCCCTTAAGAGAGCAGACGCACAAGCGAAAGCTGCCAGCAACTTTTTATACAAAGGTGGACAGAGAATCAAGTCATTGAAAGGGGTAATTTACATCCAATTACTGAGGTCCGCCTTAGCTCCAAGGATGAAAAGCCAACATTCTTCAGAGTAGGCATTTGATTACTCCTTTCTGGACATTTTTAGGTACCATGACCCCCTCCACTATCCTACAGAATATTTGGGAGCATTAAGTGACCCCTCTGTGAAGCTGGTCCAATGTTCCTGACCAACAGGAATTGTCCATGAATGTCAAGGAAACCCCTTCCTTGGGGTGGAGTTCCTCACTTCTGAGGAACTCTCAATCCATAAGGTAACTCCATGACCATGACCATGGACAGGGATTCCTGATACAAGGTTTTGGAACTGGGAGCTAATTGGAAGAGATAATGCAGGTGTCCTCAGTACAGACATACCTATTGCTTCACTACCTGAAACAGAGGTTTTGTCACAGCTCCCTCTGGTGGCCTGATGCTGAAGAGCAGCACAATTCATTCTGCAAATGCTTGCAGGACCACAATCAGTCCAGTAGCTACTTACTGAGACCAGAGCCTGTGCAATCATGCAGCACAGCCAGAAACCCTGAAAGGCCAGATCTGGCGCAGCAGCATGGGCTTTGGTAGCAGCTACATCATGTTCTTGATGTCGCCTTGCCTTGCCTTGCCTTGAACTGTGTTTGAACCCCACTCTGCTTCTGCTTCTACCCTTGTCTTTGGTCTGACCCCGCCATGCCTGGTGCCTTGTTCCTGACCCTGCTCTGCCTTACTAGTATCCAAGCTCAACATGCTGCTGGACTGTTCCTTAGTCTCTGACCCTTCTCTGCCTTTAGCAGTACCTAAGTTCAAAGCATGACTTCTGTTTGGGCCAGCCTTTGCCTCTAGCCCTCTGCAGCATCCTGCAAAGTCCTCCATTTCTCCACAGGTCCTGGTGTTCTCGCTATAGGTGTCTGTCACCTAAGTTACAGTGCTGACGAAGTCCTACATTTTAACAATAGGAGCATTTTGCATTGTAGGTACAAAGGTAATGACAATTTGTTGTTAATTACAGTATAGGGCTGAGTTTTTGTAAAGATACAGGAAAGACTGTAGTGCTCCTGTGAGAGATTAGTATTTTATCATTCTATTTGTGGAGTTGAGGATGCAAATCCACACAAAGCACTATGCCAACAGTTCAGCCTAATATGATGAGCGGGATTCTGTTGTTACCATGTTCCTTATCAAGAGAAGTGCCTCACTCGGCTTTAACCAGTCTGCCAAGAGTCTTTGCCATTGCTTCTGGGCACATGCACTCAGGATAATTCTTGTATATGTTTAAAATGTTTCCTAGCTGTTTTCAGGGTAAAACTCCCCCCAGACCAGCTTAGATCAAACAAAAACATAAACATAAAACTACAAAATCCATTCCAATAAAGTGCGCCATTTAAGACATTCCACAGCCCAGCAAACTCACACAGAAATTATTTACACAATTAAAGAGAGAGCAATTTAAAAGCAGCAGCAATATAAACCATAACAACTCAGAAATTCAGTGTCACACCTCAGCCAGAAACTGCTTGAAATGAATAGGTTTTCAAGATCCAGTTAAAATCCAGTACCCATTAAGTCAAACTTACATAAAGACGTGCATAACTTGGGAGGAAAAATTTACCTGATGATGGCTGAAACTTCCAAATTGGATGTTGCCGGTCTGAAGCACCAAAGGATCCCTGTAGGCACAGCACTTAGCACCTGGTCCAGAGTCTCAGCCACTGCTTTCCAGAAGGGGTGCTCTCCTGGCCATCTGTTCCACTGAGAGAGACCTAAAGTTCTTTCCTGCTCAGATTATGCTCTCCATTGTCTTGAAATAGTGCAGATAACCTTGCATATCTCTTGGTAGCTGACCAAAGACTGGTGGATAAGTTGCCTATTTGTTACCCAGATGTGGCAGCCCCATAATAGGAAAGAATGAATGGGACCCCTGCAATGATCGGATATCCCTGCCAACCAATGCTTTGCTGTCACTTTGAAAATGATGGATGTTGAAAATAAAGAAACACACTAAGTGTATTTCATTGCTCTGACCATCTTAGGTAAATTCCATATATACAATAGCACAGCTAGGTGCACGAGTTGAATTTCCCTATTTCCCTTTTCTTTCCTGATATTAAAATTAAAAATAGCATATACTACTAGTCCTACTGACAATTCTGAAACTAAGTAGACAGCAAGATCAATGTGACATTTTCTACTTTACCCTGCATAAATGGCACCTCCACAACACAGAAAATGAAAAAGAACAGTCACACACGCAATAATCTAACGAATCCATAAACAAAGTCAAGACACATTAACCTGAGCACTAACTTACAATTCATAAGCTCCACAAAGTATCTGGCATAACTGCTTCTTTTATGCTGGTTCGTTACCAAGGAGGTCAGTCAAACATTCTGAGTTCTTCTTAGGCTTTCTGTGGCTGTTAAGCAACAATGCAGGACTGACCGGTGTGAACAAATGCAGTCTCCGTTCCTGGATGTCTCCTTACCAGGAAATCTTTCTTTGCAACAGGAAAAAAAAGAAAAAGAAAAAAGAGGATAAGAAGAGGAGGAGGAGGAGGAGCTTTACTTGTCAGGCCTGCTTGTTAAAAAAAAGGCTAAATATCTCAGCCAACATTCCAGCATTTTCCAAGTTGTTCTACTGAATTAATAGTGAAGAGAAAGATTACTCTGACTAGTGGTGATAATGTGTGTACTTGTGACTTGCGGGTGGGACAACATTAAAGAAACAGGGTGGAAATGAATAAGAAGGCAACAGGAGGGTTGTAGCTGGCAGCCAAATAGAATCCCTCCAGCTGCTCGGGTCAGTGAGCAAACCTAACCGGGAAGCATCAGAGAGTGGCCCATTTTAGCATATTTCCATTAGAAGGGCCTAATGGGAATAAGATCTTCGTGCAGTTCCTTCTTTTGGTGAGTGCAGGAAGGCAATGTGCCTGGTCTAGGTCTACTTAACGAAGAGGAAAGCTCTTGATTGTGCACTAAATACGAGTCAGCTAGCTTATAAGTTGTTTAGCAGCAGTTAATGCAGGTTGCTTACCTGTAACTGATGTTCTTCGAGTGGCCATCTGTGCATTCACACATATGGGTGCTGCGCCTGCACAGTGCCTAGGCCGGAAAGATTGAAAGCTAGCGGTTTTGGCGGAAAAACTCCACTCCCCTCTCCCTCAGCAGTATATATAGAGCGGAGTGTCCACCATTTTCCCCAGTCTTTGAAAGACCAAACGTTCTCCACCTTCCGGAAGAGGATGGCATAACAGCCCATTAGGTACCATGGCAAAGCACACAGTACCAATGAAAAACACCACTCACCGACACCGAGTGGGGCCAGCAGGTAGGTTGTGTGAATGCACAGATGGCCACTAGAAGAACATCAGTTACAGGTAAGCAACCTGCTTTTCTTCGTCATGGCCTCTGTGCATCACACATATGGGTGAGTAGTAAGCTTACCAGAGTTGGTGGAGGGTGGTGTCATCATTGAAGAACAGCAGAGGGAACAGCCCTCCCAAAGGAACAGTCTCTTCTGGCACGCACATCAAGGCTAGGTAGTGCTTTGCGAAAGTACACAGAGTAGCCCAAGTCGCAGCTTTGCAAACCTCTTGGATTGGGATACCCATGGCAAATGTGGAGGAAGTTGCCACTGCTCTAGTGAAATGACCCCTCAGAACAACAGGTAAGTCCATCTTTGCAAGTTGGTATGCCAATGAAATAGTCTGAACTATCCATTTCGACAATCTCTGAGATGAAACAGGTAATCCTTGGTCCCGTTGAGAGTACTTCACAAATAGTCTATTAGAACGTCTAAGAGATTCTGTACGTGATCTGTAAAAAGCTAAGCAGCATCGCACATTTAAAGTATGTAAGGACCTTTCAATCGGGTTTGACAGAGACAGAAAGAAGGCAGGTAACACAATCTCCTGATTCAAGTGGAACAGCATGGCCACTTTGGGCAGAAAGGAAGGATCCATTCTCAGAACCACCTTTATAAAAATTAAGATAAGGTGGATCTATTCAAAGAGCACAAAGTTCACTGGCTCTACTAGCTGATGTAACTGCAACAAGAAAAGCTGTCTTCCATGATACGAGACGCATATCCACAGTCACTAAGGGTTCAAATGGTGGTCTTGTAAGTGCCTGAAGACAACTGAAAGACTCCATGTGGGCATTATAGGTCGAATACAAGGATGAAGATTTTGTACTCCTTTCAGAAACTTTCTTATAAGCGGCTGTGAAAACACCGACAATCCCTGTATTGCACCACGATAATGTGATACAGCAGCTGCATAGACTTTAATTGACGAAGGTTTAAGTCCTGAACGATGTAGTTGTAACAGAAACTAAAGAATATTCTCTCCCGAGGCTGCCGTTGGAATGAACGACTGTGATTCCGCGGAAGATGAGAAGCGGAGCCACT